CATACTTATTTTTTTGTAATCAAATCCATGAAAATACTCGACCATGTCCCTAAATTTTATTTTTTCATCTAAAATTTTTAATTGTTGGATGAGATCATTCTTGACTATTTCATTCAAATATGTGACCTCATTGATAGCATAGAAACCATTGGGTTTTGCTCCAGATGTAGCAAGTCAGTTAATGTGGATAGAATCTCTAGCATGATGTTAAAGTGGACTTGACGTTTAGATTCTTGATACATTAGGGTGACTACTGGAATATGAATGGTCTTGAAACACGAAGAACACATATGGTCATAAAAAAATATTCTTAGCCTTAGCCACATGTTTTATGAGTATGTCTTCCATCTTTTTAAGCAAACCTTCTTGTATATTTGCAATGTCAGCCTCTATTTGATCCAGTCTACCCTTTACTTCTTTTTGCATTTCTCTTTTATATTTCTCACGAAGAACACATATGGTCATAAAAAAATATTCTTAGCCTTAGCCACATGTTTTATGAGTATGTCTTCCATCTTTTTAAGCAAAACCTTCTTGTATATTTGCAATGTCAGCCTCTATTTGATCCAGACCCTTTACTTCTTTTGCATTTCTCTTTTATATTTCTCAATCTATTTTAGTCGATCATTAATTTCTTTATCCATCTTTTAGTTCATGTAGATGCGAAGTGTTCTTGCTTCTAGCGAGGGCCAAGATTACTATGATCGAAAATTTCTTCTTATTATTTTGGGTTTTCTTAAAATGAATGAATGTTTTAACATATAATTTTAAGAAATGTGTAAAAAAAATCAAACAATGTAAATGAGATGCATGTATGTAAAAGGTATTGATCTTAGAGTAACGGTTCCTAGAACAATTCTTGAAGAACTGACAACGTCTTGATACTATAGGAAAGTGAAAATCAAAGATTATCTAGCTCTATCTCATGGCTACTTAACTCCTATGAGCGGCTAGATGATGCATCGTACTTCGTCAGATTTGGGCACATTTAAAACCTTCAGAGCTTTTCTTCATCTCCTGTGGCAAAGGTTTGTCGACCCAGTTCATTATCTTTTGCTAGTTCCTTCAACATTGAATTTTCTTTAGTCTAACTTATCTCCTCAGTAGGTAAACAACCTTCTAATTCTCGTTACTTTGCATTGTTCACATAAGAATCTTTGAAATTTTATCTAACCTAACGAAGAGAATTGTTGTGGGCATTGTTATTTCAAGAACCTTCTGAATGACCAGCTATTTCAAAGATCAATACCTTTAAATGATATGTCATGTTTATGCAAAATAAATCACAACAAAAACAATTAACAAGGTAAAAAGATATCAAGTTAGTAGAAATGATAATCAAAGTAATGTGAAAAAAAAACTAAATACAACTCATAGATAAGACTACAAATAAAATACACAAAGGAAAGTAAAGTCCTAACTGCATGCCTTCTAATTCTCTTAGGTTATTCACATGGTTCTAGCGGGATAAGATTACTAAATTCTCTACATTAAGTTATATTCTAGAAAAGTTCCCAAACAACCCTTACAAACTACTAAGGATAATAAAGACTTCAATTTTGGCCATTATAGACTTGTGAATCGAATTTAATTTAGGGGATCACACCACTAAATGCGTATCACGAAACTAATACCCGGACATACACTTAGAATACTTTACAGAGGTAATTTATCCAATCAGCACGCGGAAGCCCAATACTCCTGTGAGGTGTGACGTTTCCCCTACATAGATGAAATGGGATGAAGCTCAGGTATAGAGCTTTAATATACGATGCAAAAATCCTACTTATGCTCAATCAAGTGAAAGCATTAACTAGAGGGAAAATATTTTTCGATTTAAAAAAAAACATAATGAATCATAAATTAAATAAATTCAAACTCAACACATTCAAATCTTGAATATAGGGTAATTGACTCGTGACTCGACTCTCAATTTTTGTTTTTGAAAACAAAGCATCAATAGCGGAGTCGCCACCAATTATTTTAAGGTGCGATTGGAACACCAAAAATCTGGTAATTTTAATAAAACATTTTAATTCATTAAATAATACCAAGTTTAGGGTCTAAAAAACAAGAGATCGGGTTCGAGAGTCAGTTACGCATAGGGAAGAATTAACACCTCCACAACGCCTAGAAATTGGCACCTAATCGATTACCCTATATTTTAGAATTTGGAAATTTGGAGTTCAAAGTTTTATTTAATTTAGAAATCACTATGGATGCAAAGTTAAAGAGGACGCTCGTTTATTAAAGACAATAATCTTCACCCCTAGCATGAATGTGGGGATCAATTATTGTTCCCAATAACTAGACATTACCTCAAGATTTAAAAAATGAACGGTTTTTTAAAAGTACGTTGACCTACTTCGGGAATTACCAATAGTCGCTCCCAAAGCATGATTGCGGGAACTCTACCATTAATTCCTTAATAAGTCAACATTGTTTTATGTTTGAAAGAGAAATGCAATCAATCAACATGTTTAAGAACCTAATTATACTAAGTGAGTTTATTAAAGGATTTCCTAACTTAAGGTGTCAATTTATGAAAATTAGAGAACCTAAAGATTAATCCTAAAGTGAGACCTCTAATATTAATCCTAGTTAATTTTAACCAATTATTGAATCGAACAATCGAGATGGTCCCTTGGGCATTTAGGCGAGGGCCAACTCAGGTTACTCCCTAAATTAAAGGACTAGATTGAAATCTAACCTAAAGTGGAAGTTTTAATTAAAGACCTAATTAATTATGTTAAAAGAATGTCTAATTAAAAGTTCAAGGACTAAAGTTTGAAAAGTTGAAGGTTAAGGCTCTAATTATTAACCCTAATTAATTATCCTTTTATTGAATCGAATAATCAAAATGAGCCATCGGGCATCTAAATGCAAAAGCTAAATCGAATTATTCCCTAAATTAGAGTCTAAGTGTGAGAAATATAAATCTAAGGTTTAAATCTTAAAATCTAAGGCTATAATTACTAACTAAACTAAGCAACTTGAGCTAAAAGATTAATCCCAAAAAAATAAAACAAACATGCATTTAAAAAATAAAAAAAACACTAAAACTATACAAAATTGATTTTAAAGATTAACTACTTATATACAAATTACCAAATAAATTTATAACACGAAATTAATATTAGGGTTAGTTTAAAAACAAATTAATTAAGGACTAAACTGAAACACACTAAATAGTTTAGCGACCATATCTTAATGAAGCATACAAATCAACATAGTGACCAAATTAAAACCAATCAAAATTAAGCATAAAATTTTAGAGTTAAAACAGTGACTTGAATGTAAATACGCACTAAAATAAGAGGGACTAAAGCATGATCGTCCCTTTTTTATAAGCCTAAAATGAACTAACAAATGAAATATGAAAATTACAAGATCAGGCCAACAAGATTAAAATAAGATCAAAACAATCACTATAGGTGACCAAAATGCAAAAATGAGGAAGAGTTAGAGGGATCATAATGCAATTATACAAATTATATATCTCAACAAAAATAGAAAGGAAAACCAAACAATCAGGACAGTAGTTTTGAAACTAACATAAAAAAAACCAGGGACTAAAGTGCAAAGACGCGACAGAAGTTGAAGGACTAATGCGCGATTCACCCCTAATATTTTAGTATAAAACACCCTTTTTTTCATTTTTAACCTAATACCCTAAAAAAATAAAACTCTGTCAACTCTATCATTTCCCTCTACTCAACCGAGAATCGAACCCTTGCCAAAACATCACCACCGACTACCATAAGCGATGGCCAGATGAACCTTAACTACCCCAAAACAACCTTCTAAAGTACCATCTAACCTCCTAACACTAAATCTGACGATCGAGAACCTAAAATAACTAAAAAACCCAAAAAAAAAACCCAACCTTCCGACTTCTTTAAACTCTAGTAATCGTCGACGGCTGAGTGGGCCCAAACCACCCTGAAACCTCATGATCTACGACTTAATACCCAGATCTAGGCCAAAAACCAACATGCGAGGTCCTACGTCCTAGAGACCACTAGAACCCCTTGACTATTCTACCCCCTCACCAACGACTTAATCCCGACGAACCGAGCTCCGATGAGATGTTCTCTCCCCTCAGGTAAACTCTTCTACCACTTTTTTATTTTTCGATTCGAATGTAAAACAAAAAAAATTACTAAAGGAAATGGAATAAACCTTGAAATCTTTTCTGGTTTTGTATTGCTTTCTGAAAATGGGGAAGAAGTAGATAGATTTTTACATTTTTCAATGGTGCTTTTATATCTATTTTCTGATATATTTCAAAAGTAGATGATGATAATAATAATAATAATAATAATAATAATAATAAATCTAATTTCTACTTGCTTTGACATTCATCATTTCCCTGTATATGGTTGATTGCATTTTTAATGCCCTGAATTTTTTGGGATTTTGTTGAGATCTTTAATGAGATTTGGTTCCAATCAACTTGAAGACAAAGGCGAGAATCAGATTTGGCAGCGACAACGACTGCTATCAAAGATAGATGGTGGCTAACCCTAAAATTAGTACTAGAGTTAGCCACAAAGGGATAGGGTTATGGGCTTTAGGTTTTTTTTGAGTTTTTAGCTTTAGGCCCAATGAAATTGGTTTGATTTGTAAATGTAAATAATATTTAATAATATTATTTTTTTATTTATAATAATAATAATAATAGTAATGGATCGAGTAAAATATAGTGATTACACAATTCAACTATATTGAAAACAAAACTAAAAAGATCATTCAAATTTTCCAAAAAAAAAACAGAGAAATAGAAAAACAATTATGTTAAAAAAAAAAATCAAAATATAATTAAAACAGTTAGGCTTAACCATGGTTTGTTTCCAATTTCACATTGGAGTGAAGCATATACATACAGTCATTTTCGAAGAAGATAAACATCCATGGAAGCTTGATATTTCTCATAAATTGGTTTGGTTCAATAATTGACATTTTGCTTCTCCTTATCTTAGAAGAAGCATGAGGATTATGAGTAGCTGATATCAAGTTTCCAACTTGCTTGACATTAGATTCGGTTGGGGGGGGGGGAAGCTACTTGTCTAAATCTAATTACAGGCTTTAAGACCCTCGTAGGCTAGTTAAAGGTAAAAACTGCCTAGAACATGATCATTCAAGTCGAGATATCACTCGCAACCGAAGAATAGAGGTTGGTGATGACTCAAGCTACCATATTTGATAGACATTTGTCTTCAAATTATGAACACTAGTTCAGTTTCGACCAAAATATAATCATCATTAAGTTCCCTCATCTACATAATATCATTTCACCTTGGATGTGCAGAGCTCCTAGTTACCCTTTTCGTATCAGCCGGAGAACTACATCCGACAGTGTTTGCATCATCATTTTGGCTTAGCCTCTTTCTCTTGGATCTTAGAGATGATCGACTCTGGGCGGGCCTGGAAGATGGCTGGCTTGGCATGGGATCAGTTTCTTCTTCCTTGTGTTCTATGGGTTCTGCCTTGGTTGGCTGGTACTGCCACTGAGTATCACAACTCGGACAAACTATGACACCCTGCAATTTATCAAGCCAAACCTCTGAACTGACATGAAAAGTAATTATGATTGGAAATGAAGACGAAAATGTGAAGAAAAAAACTCATACTTTCTGAGAAAATATCTTTTTTAGGCAATACTCATGGATTCGAACTGTACAACCTTCTTTTGGGCACAATTTGGCCTGCCAAAGATAAATGGAGTATTAATATGTATATGAAAGCAATCACTACACCATCAAAGCTTCAATATGTCAACCCTATACAAAATATTTCCCATTAAATTTGTTAGGACATTTAAAGGAGAAAAATGCAATTGTGGAAGTAACCAGACTAGGAAACTGAAAAATAACTGATATATTAACCAGGCCAAAAAGGGTATAGGAAGCATCCAAACTACAGACAAGGCGAACAATGAAAAGAACCTTCAATCCAGCTTCATTGCACACTTCACATGAAGGAACACCATTATTATTGAACCAACCACGCAGATCAAGAATGGACCTAACACCAACTCCAATATTATCATCTTCAGTGTAACAAAGCCACTTGTCTTTCACAAGTTGATCAAGAGTTTTTTCCTTCTGGGACATTGTGAAGTTTCTGAATGCAGCAGGAATGCCGAGTGAACCATCCTGTGATTGCAACCCAGAAACGACAATAAAAAAAGCAAGGTTTTTCATGTTTCAATATGAAAAATTGTTAACATAAACCATCGTTCTAACTTATCAAATGGTTCACAGGCCAAGCATAATTTCAGAAAACAAAAGAGTAGCAAATTGAGAGATATCATACTTGTTTGACTCAATAATCAGTTAAACATTCAGCATACACACTATGTGAAATGTCAAAATCTTCAACAACCAACACAGACAGGGGAGAAGCCAAAGGATCCAAACCCACTAGGTTTTTGGTATACTCTTCCTTTTTTTATTAGTTTAGGATGACTACAAGATAGTATATGATCAAAGTCCTTCAACCATTTGGCATTGTACTTCTGTGCATGCATGGTGCTCAAACCTAAAACCTTAAAAAAATAACAACAATTCCTTAACCATTGAGGTAGCTTAGTTTGTGCAAGTTTTTGGTAGAAAAAGGTACAAAACTACTTTGGCTGCGGAGGAAAATTCATAATTGGCCCCTCTTTTACTCCAGCACCCCCAACATAAATTCCTGGCTTTCCATTTAAATATAATCAAACAGTAAAACTCTGGTCAAGCATCAATCAATCATCAATAAATATGAATCCAATCCACACTATATGTGCTCGTGAGATGTATAATATTGCTTAAATGAATCTGCTTTAAGAAAAAATGTAAAGCCATAAAAAATGGCACACATATAAGTTGATATAAAATGGTAAAACCTGGTTCTCCAATTTAATATTGAGAACATCAATATTGCAGATGCAGCCGTCGTGTGTAACATCTTGTGCTATGGCTTCAACCTAGATTGACAACCAAAAACCAAGATTTTCAAGACAATGCATAATAATATAGATCAAACTCATGAATATGCATAAAAGAATTAATACTTTTCAAAGCATAAAGAGAAATCCCGTGTTCGATATAAATTGAAAAAAAGGAGGGGAAACTTGAATTACAATAGCCTTAAAGAAAGCAATTTGTGGGACAGAATATTTGGTTCCAAGCTTCGATTGATCGTCGGAAACATTGTTAACAAGTCCATAATAAACTCGACCATCATATGGATCTCTACATGCCCTTAAATCCAGTTGAACATACGAAAGCTCCCTGTTTATCTTGAGAAGATAATCATTGAATTTTGTTGCATGGGTACCTAAAAGAGGACACAATTTTTTTCCCCTTCGAGATAAGTAACGGGGAGATTTTACTGTTTTTTTTTCCTTTTTGGAAAAAAAGGGGGGAAGAAGAAAGAGAACCTGTGTTTTCGCCGGTGATGGCAGTGAAAATTGAGTGGAACTCCTTCTCCGTAAGAGGGCCGCGTTCTAGCAGCGATTGAATGAGTGTGTGGTGCTTCCAGCTTAGCACCGCCATGATCAGATTGGTGTTCCCGAGGAACGGAATGGGAAATGTAGAGATTTACCAGGAAAACCAAGCGAGTTAGGGTTTAAATGGCGGGAAGGTTTTCAACTTGTGTATTTATATTTGTCTCCTCTCCTAGGCGGTAGGCTCGGCCCGTTGGATAAGTAGAGATTTAAGGCAAAATGGGCTACAGTAGACTAATTATTTAGCCTAATACTGCACTACATATTTTATTTTGAGAATTATTATATATAATAAAATATATTTTTATTAAAACTTATTATTTTAATATAATAAATTTTAATAAAAAATTATATTTTTTAAAATTTATCATGTTGAAGTAATGAATTGAAATAAAAAATATTAATAGGGTACACTCTAACATTTTCGTAGATCTCCCAATTAATATTGAGTTGACTTATTGGGTAAATTTTTTTACCCGTCTAACCTATTGGGTCAATTTTACTGAGTTTTAATGACGAAATGAGTCAATGATATAGTGGTAAGATTTAATGTGGTTTAAGTGATAAAGTGGCAGAATTTTATTAAAAATTGCAATAATTGATCCATAAAATAAATAAATATTAAAACTGCATATAAACTTTCATCAAAATAGGAACATTGTTCTCTCTTAAAGATTTAGATTCGAACAATTATTAATATAAAGTGTGTACATTATTATTATTATTATTATTATTATTATTATTATTATTATTATTATTATTATTATTATTATTATTATTATTATTATTATTATTATTATTATTATTATTATTATTATTATTATTATTATTATTATTACTATTAGTAGTAGTAGTAGGTTATGCATTACTGTTATAGCCTTTGAATAAGAGATTTAAAGTGCGAATTCATGTATCATTATAGATAACACAATTAAAAACCAAAAACGTTCAATTAAAAGTAGGCATGATGATTTGCATTTCTTTCAATTTAAATTTAGAAATTCATGTATCCTTAGAACCCCACACATCTGAAGATCCTATTTTCTATTGGGTGATGACTTCTGTGAAGGCGGTTCTAGAATGTCCACGCTTACCACAACATTCTTTCATATGGCTCTTGCAACCACCACCCAATTCTCTCTTCTCCACACCCGTACAAGTCTCATGCATTGTAATGTCAATGGCAGTGTGAGGTGGGTCACATGCCTTTTGCACCTTTTTGAATACGTTACCATGAGGATGGTTATGAGATGAATGGCAATGGCCGGTTTCACATCCATGTTGGTTTATATGTGATGCAGTTGAAGGCTTACAACATTTTCCTGCAAGTTTGTGTGTTCCCTGTAAAAAGGACCATGCTATTGAAGATCACCAACAAACATGTGCCGACATCATCAAGAACCGCTGCCCACACAAGTGGATGACCAGCAAACGCCAAAGCAAGAATAGCTGCCTTAGTACTGATTGACAAAACTACATTCTGAACCACTTTACTGCGAGCCTTTCTCGCGAGTTGGATAGCTTTCGGTATCTTTCTGATGTCATTCGACATGAGAATCACATGGCCAGTCTGGGCTGAACCCGAGATGCCCATTGAGATACCGATATCAGCTGTAGCATGTGCCGGTGCATTGTTGATGCCATCTCCAACCATTGATGTTGGCCCTTGTTTCTTAAACTCTTTGATTATTCTTTCCTTGTCTTCCGGAAGAAGTTCTGCACGGATCACATCTAGGCCATTCCCCAGCTGCAAGTAAGACAAATTTAAGTGTGATAACTTTTCGTCTTAACCTAAATAGAATATCCACAACAATAGCAGCATTTTTATCTGCACAAAGTTTCCTGTGCCATCATTACTACTTGGATTGTGTGAAAACATTTCTAGCAGTCAGTGGCAGTGGTATATTACATCAAAACATGAAGGCAAAGGGCTTTTATCATGTGTTATTGGAAGTGCACCTGTTCTTGTACGTGCATGGCTGTTGCTTGATTGTCTCCTGTAAGCAAAGCAGTTTTGATCCCCATTGACTTTAGCTCATTTACTGCCTCTGCTGCACCAGTTTTACAAGCATCTGAAAGACTTAAGATTCCAACAGTGTTTGCTCCAGAAAACACATATCCAATGGTCTTGCCTTGCATCATTTTGGCTTGCAGATTTGGAGCTATACACATGATACTCACATTAGAATGTGATAATATTCTGAACCGAGGGTGTCGGTAAAGTTTTCACCTGTCCCATAGGCTCTCTTTGATACTTTTCTGCTCCCAATGTAAATATCTCTTCCATCAATTCTCCCGTAAATACCTTCTCCAAGGAAATTTTGATAATCCTCCACAGTTTCAGGCTTTGGTTCTGTTGCGGAAGACGGCTATCGGATAGAGCAAAATCGCAACTGATAATTTGAGAAAATAAAAATGAAGATAAAAAGAGACACAAAATTTACGTGGAAAACCCCTAAATAATATAGGGTAAAAACCACGAGCAACGGTAGAAGAATTTCACTATGAGAAAATAGGAATTACAACCTCTCTCGATCTACCAAGGAAAAAACAATGATAATTCTCTCTTGATAAAAAGGAGAAAACAACTCTCAAGAAACTCTCTAAATTCTCTCTAGTATTGGAAGAAAGCTAGAATGCTTTGGGATGGTTTTGAAGCTAAATGAACTAGGGTATTTATAGTTAAAACTTAAGGACTAATCTTATAAATACCCTAAAGTTTAGTGACTAAAGTTTATAATTTACCCATTTAATTTTCAAACATTATTGCACCTAATTTTGACATTGTTGCACCTAATTTTGACATTGCAATATTAGGTGCCTAACTTGAACCAATTTTCCAAACTTTGACATTTCAACAATCTCTCACTTGAAGATTTGATTGGAACAATCATATCTTCACACCATTCTTTCTACCTTGTACCATCATGTTGCTTACGTCTCTGACAGGCCACAAGAGGATCGACACCAGGTAAATTTATCAGCATTGATCGCCTTCGTCATGAAATCTTCTATGTTGTCTTTGGTATTGATCTTCTGTATATCTACCGTTCCTTCTTCCACCTTTTCACGAATGAAATGGTATTGAACTCGTATGTGCTTAGTCCTTGAATGAAATGCTGGATTCCTTGCTAGATGCAAGGCGCTTTGACTGTCACAAAACAGAGAGACGTACTCTTGATTGTGCCCAAGCTCCTCCAATAGCATCTTCAACCAAATTGCTTCTTTACTGGCTTGTGTAGCTGCTACATATTCTGCCTCTGTTGTGGACGTAGCCACAACTGACTGCAATTTTGAAACCCAACTTACAGCTCCACCAGCAACTTTGAACACATATCATGTAGTAGATTTGCTTTTATCCAAATCCCCTGCATAGTCAGAATCTACATACCCATTAATTAGTAAGTTTGATCCTCCGTAACATAATGCAACATTTGAGGTCCCTTTGATGTATCTTAGGATCCTCTTTACTGTATTCCAATGCTCTTTTCCTGGATTCGCCATGTATCGACTAACCACTCCCACTGCTTGTGCAATGTCTAGTCTTGTGCATATCATAGCGAACATTAAACTTCCCACTGCTGATGCATACGGTACTCGAGACATCTCCATCCTCTCTTCTTCACTGCTAGGACTCATACTGGAGGATAATTTGAAGTTAATAGGAAGAGGGGTAGAAATTGGCTTACAATCTTGCATGTTGAATCGTGACAAGATTTTCTTCAAGTAATTCTTTTGTGAAAGCCAAATCTTCCTATTACTTCTGTCTCAGTGAATTTGCATCCCTAGAATCTTGTTTGCTGATCCCAAGTCCTTCATTTCAAATTCCCTAGCCAGTTGTGCCTTCAATTCTTCAATATGATCTTTGTTGGGTCCTGCAACCAACATGTCATCTACGTACAACAACAATATAACAAAATCGTTATCACCAGACCTCTTGAAATAAGCACAAGGGTCTGCATTAAGTCTGTTGTATCCAAGGCACATAATAAAGGAATCAAATCTCTTATACCAACACCTCGGCGCCTACTTTAGACCGTACAGAGATTTGTTCAACCTGCAAACCAAGTTCTTCTTTTCGTCTTCTTCAAAACCTTCAGGTTGGAGCATATAAATCTCTTCTTCAAGATTTCCATGAAGAAAAGTTGTTTTAACATCTAGCTGCTCTAGATGTAAGTCCAATGTAGCACACATTGCCAAAACTACTCGAACTTTTATTAGTCGAACCACAGGAGAAAATATTTCATTGAAATCAATACCTTCCTTTTGAGCATATCCTTTTACCACCAGTCTTGCACGATACCTCTCAACTTGATCGTTACCATTTCGCTTGATTTTGAAGACCCATTTGTTACCAATTGGCTTCCTTCCTTGTGGTAGTGGCACAAGGTCCCATGTATTATTTTTATGAAGGGCTTCGATTTCTTCTTGCATCGCCATCATCCATAGTGAAGCATCTGAGCTGTTTATTGCCTCCTGGTATGTTGATGGCTCACCGTCCTCTGTTAAAAGGCAGTATGCAATATTACCTTCTATAACATAATCCGAGTGCCAATTGGGACGTCTTCTCACACGATCTGATTGACGAGTTGTTGGAGCTTCAGAACTCTCTGGTACTTGTTCATCATGTGCTGGTTCTGCTTCAGAAGAATCTCCTTCTTCAAACTCTTTTTCCACATGTATCTGAGTAGTCTCTGACTTTTCAGCGCTATCATCGTCTTCTTTCTTTGTAGTTTTCTTCTACAAAGATAACATCTGCTAATGATCACTTTGCGGGCAGTGGGATCCCACAAGCGATACCCTTTACTCCATCAGCATACCCCAAGAATTTGCATTTCCTGGATTTTGGATCCAGCTTTGAAATTTCTTGGGCGTTGTACATCACGTACACAATACTTCCAAATACATGGAGGTTTGAATAATCAACTGGTTTACCAGTCCACATCTCCATTGGTGTCTTCAGCTCTATTGCAGTTGATGGAGCTCGATTCACCAAATAACAGGCGGTATTGACTGCTTCTGCCCAGAATGATTTTTCTAGGCCTGCGTCCCTCAACATTGCTCTTGTTCTTTCTAACAAGGTTCTGTTCATCCGCTCTGCCACTC